GACCTGCTGGGCTCCGGCGATCCTTCCGCCTCATCCTTCCGAGTAGCCGGAATTACAGGCGCGCGCTACCACGCCCAGCTGATTTTTTTTTAATTTATTTATTGTAGAGATGACCCGCTGCCCAGGCGGGTCTCGAACCCTTGGGCTCAGGCAATCCACTCACCTCAGCCTCCCAAAGGCACGGGATTACAGGCTGAGCCACCGAGCCCGGCTACAGTATTTCTTTTAATGGAGAAAACAGTCTAACGACTTGGAAACATGCGATTGTGTACTTCCTACCTGTGGGGGTATTGATATGCTGTCATTAAATTATGATTATAAAGACAATATAATGCTACAGGTCAATGCTAAGTGAAAAAAAGATGCAAGACTGAACATAGATAAAAGTTACAAGTTGTGGAGAGGGTGAAGGGAGAGGGAGAAATCTCAGAAGTGTCTGGGAGTGGTAACACGTTTTTCCTATTATCTTCATCCTCCTGTGGACTTCTTTAAAAAGAAAAATTCTTTTTGGTAGAGATGAGGGTCTCAGTAAGTTGCCCAGGCTGGTCTCAAACTCCCGACCTCAAGTGATCCTCCTGCCTCGACCTCCCAAAGAGCTTACCGGCGTGAGCCCCCGCGACCGACTCTTTCTGTGTATTCCTCCTGTTTTTCATAATTACTTCATTTACGCAGCAAATATTTGGTGGGCGTCCACTATGTGCCAGGGGCTGCCGGAGTAGCTGGAGTCAAGTGTGACTACAACCCAACTCCTGTCCTCAAGCCAGAAAATTAACGAGGCACATTGAATGCAATATTAGACGACTGGCGCTCGGGGAAAGATAAGGCAAAGAAAGAGCACACCGATGCAGCATCTACTTTCGACCAGGACGGAGCAGGCAAGCGCCGGGTAGGACCGCGGGCCGAAGCCGGGACCGGCCCGGCGGGTGCCGGCTGGGAGCACAGGGCGGGCGGGCGGGCTGAGGTTCGGCGCGAATAGGTGAGGCGGATCACGTGACCAGAAGGGGGCGGGAGGAGGCGAACCGAATTTGGCTGGGCACCTTCCCTTCGAGCAGGCGGGCGGCGCCGAAAACCAAACAAACGTCTTCCGAGCGCTGGAGGGCGGGGCAGACGTGAGCGGGCCTCGCTTCTGGAGCCGGGGCCTTCCGCCGAGTTGGCTTTTCGGTTGTCGGCCGCGGCGGCCGGGCGGTCTGCGGTCGGGCTGCGAGGCGCGGGGCAATGGCGACCTTTGTGAGCGAGCTGGAGGCGGCCAAGAAGAACTTGAGCGAGGCCCTGGGGGACAACGTGAAGCAGTAAGAGCGAGCCCGGCACAGCCTCCGGGCCAACGCGCGGTGCTCTCCGGGCTGTGGGCTGCCGACCTGCCCTGGAGACGCCCCCGCCGCCCGGAGGCCTGTGCAGCCTCGCGGCCGCGGCGGCGAATCTGGGGCTCCTCCGGCCGGGGCGGGGCGGGCCTGGCCTCCCGGGTGGGGGACCCGGACGGGCCTTTGCCCGACTCTCTCTGCTCGGGCGGGTGGCGGAGGTATCGCGCGTTGTGCCTGAGGGCCTGCTGGGCAGCTGTGGGCCCCGTGTGGGGCCGGCCCGGGACTGAGTGAGCCGAGTCCCACGCGCCGGCCCAACGAGGGCATCGCGCTGGCTGCCCGCCCGCCCTGGAGGGCTTCCTGGAGGCGGAGGCCCATGAGCACCTGCGATATATTAGGCATCAGGAAGCGCTTTGACGGCAATTTCGGACGGCAGACAGACTCGTAAAATGATAAGTCACGGAACACTACGACAGTTATAGTGATGGTAGCGGATATTTAAGCACCTTTTAAGCGCTCTAAATGTATTATCTCATGGAATCCTCACAACCGATGTGAGACAGGTACAATTTTTGTTACCATTTAATAGATGCGAAGACTGAGACCTAAGCTAGATTAATGAAGTCTTCAAAAGTCAATGCCAGGCCGGGCGCGGTGACTCACACCTGTAATCCTAGCGCTCTGGGAGGTCAAGGCCGGAGGATTGCTTGAGCCCAGGAGTTCGAGACTTGCCTAGGCAACATGGCGAGACCTTGTCTCTACAAAAAAAATCAAAAAATTAGCTGTGCTGGTGTACAGGTGGCGTGCGCCTATAGTCCCAGCTACTTTGGGAGGCTGAGGCGGAGGGATCACCTGAGCCCAGGACCTGGAGGCTGCTGTGAACCGAGATCGCGCCATTGCACTTTAGCACTCCAGCCTGTGCGACAGAGTGAGACCTTGACTCAAAAAAGAAAAGAAAAGAAAAGAAAAGAAAAACATCACTGCCAGGCCTGGGACTCACGCTTCTTACAGGGGTTGCAGAGGATCCCAGAGGCACCCAGTCAGCCAGAACTTCCCCGGGGATATGACCGGGCACTGAGTGCACTGTTGGGTAGACAGTTGCAGAAGGGTCCAGGGTAACATCAAGGCCAAAGCCAAATAATGTCGTAGAAGGAACCTCTGAGATACAAGAACAGTTTGGACATTTTCCAACCTTATTTTTGCAACCTTATTTTGCAAAAATACAGGAAGCAAAACTTAACGTTTAAAATGATAGTGCCCGTGTTGTCGCTGTCAGCTGACTTCGGTGGTATTCTTCCCATTTGCATTTCTCAATAGATGTACAATTTTAGATGACATTGGTGGAGGAGCGAGGTATTTGGAGATGCTTAATTTTTCTCCAACACCTTCTTTTCATTCTTCAGTGTTCTTATGACTGGATTTAAATTACTTAACTTGGATGTCATATGCGATTTTTAGAGTTTTTCCTTCATGTGAAATTTTGGGGTGGCAAGTTGACGGTCTGCTTTTCCTCCTAACAAGATACCAATAAATCAAACTTACACAAAGACTAGAATTAAAATCTAATCTGTTATTTTAATATTTATGTTTACTGTAAGTCTATCCTTTGCTTGTTTCATTAATTAAAAATTATTATTTTATGGGTAAGACTGGCAGCTCTCACCCTCAATTACTATGGGATTTCACTTTTGTAATAATGACGGATATACATTTTTAAGCATGATGGGAGACTTCACTCCCATCTAGAAGGCTTACAAGTATTTGAAAGTGTTTACTACTACAGTAAGCCTGAAGGACCTGGCTTGTGGGCATGATTGACTTTGACCCTGATTAGATGCCATGGTGACCTGTGATTCCCCCACTCATCACCCAGGTGCAAGGCTGCCTGGCGTGTTTTTGAAGTTAGCATTCCTTATCCAGTGCTTAATGGCCAAACACTGATGCTAAATTTGGTGCAAAGTGAATCCCAACTAACAATGCAATCAGAAGAGGCCTTTGTGCAGGGAAGGTTAATGATGCGGTATTTTCCTGTGTGTGTTTTTCACTCTCATGGTCCCTTTCCCCTTCTGCTCCTTAAAAGGCACCTTTGGGTTAAATAGCCTGTCATGGTGCTGTGCTGTTCATTCATTTCTCTCATTTCCTCCGCTTTGGTTTGTACAGGCTGACTGTTTAAATGTGGTCCTGATGGAAGGCAAAACATATGAGTTATACAAAGAGCTTGGGTATGAGTTATGTGCTGTTTATCCAGTGGTCCTAATGTCCTCTATGTCTGACTGGGCTGGGCGGTGTGCCCATGTCAGCTTCCAGAAAGACACGGGCTTTGCTGACCAGCCCGCTTTGTATGGTACTCAGCAGAATGTCACGTTCAGATAGGTGCCTGAGTTTTTGGGGACTTGTGTGTTATTTGCAGGCTGTGAATCTTGGTGCCAGCATCTGCTTCTGGTGAGGGCTTCAGGCTGCTTCCACTCATGGTGAAAGGTGCAGGGTCGCCAGCATGTGCAGACCGCATTGCTAGTGAGGAAGTGAGGGAGAGCAGGAAGGTGCCAGGCTCTGCAACAACCAGCTCTCGAGGACTCTCCTAGGATCTAATAGAGGGAGGATGGCACCAAGCCATTCCCGAGGGAACCTCTCCCCTACTCCCAGATTAGAACACCCGCCATCAGGCCCCACCTCCAAATTGGGGATCACATTTCAACACGAGGTTTCAGGGGTCCTCAAACTTTTAAAAGAGGGGGCCAGTTCACTGTCCCTCAGTGAACTGGCCCCCTGTTTTAAAAGTTTGAGGACCTAGAGGGTCAGATATCCAGACTATAGCATTGTTGTTGAGGGAAGCAGCCAATTGTCTATTTTATACAGTGAGTTAATGCAGGAGCAAGTCTTCCAACTCTTGATGGCTAGTTCTGACTTTTTGGGCTACAAAGCTTGCCACTGGAGAAGAAGGCTTCCTAGCAGAGCCTTGTCTAAGTTCTGGAACAAGTTGACTCACTCAAAATTTGGTTACATTTTCATCTTGTAAAATACTGACACAGGGCTTTGAAGTAGTTTCCCCGTTTCTATCTTCTTTTGTTGGATAGAATGGGATAGAAAAATAGGAAAAGACCTTTTTTTCCCTCCTGTGGCACTTTATTTCATTATTACTCCTGTTCTTTTAAAAAAATGTATGAAAGTGTCCATTTTTGAGACGTTACTACAGACTAGAAAGTGGGCCAGTGTCAGGTAGGAAGGTTACCAAGCAGCAGAGCAAGACACATCTTGCTGTTGTGTGAAATGGGCCTGGAAGATGGCAGTGTCATGGGTCTCAGGCCACTTGAGACCATAAAAGCTGTGGGTTTTTTCCTAAAAAAAAAAAAAGAATGCACACAAACCTAAGACTTTGCATGGGTTCTGTACGTGGTCCGTTATATATGGAGATGCTAAGGTGATTGGAAGCTGGCAGTGAGAGCATTAAACCATCTCGTTCAGAAGTCTGATTTCTATTTTCTATTAGGAACTCCAATGAGCATGAGAGGGTAGGAGAGTATGCATCGAAAGTGACAGGTACAGAGTGACTTTGAATCTTGTTCCATGAACAAGCAGCAGCTTCCTTCTGCAGTGAAACAAGGCTGTGGATGTGATATTTTACCCTTGTCTCTAACATTGTTGTTAAGGTAGAAAAGGTTAATTCATTTCTTTCCTACCAATTACCTAGTAGTTTTGATTATTAGATGTTGGTTCTCTTTTTATCTTTTTTTTTTTAACTTCAGTCACTGAATAGGTAGGTGTTATTTTCACTTGAAAAACTATTAAATTGTTCATATCCACAAGTAAATTTTTTTGTGGTGAGATGTTTAGAAACCCATTTTTTCAGCTAGTTCCGATAAAGTTGAGTTCATCATCTGAAAGGAAAACATCACCTACAATAAATATAAATAAATGACCACTCCCCACTCTGTAAAACACATACACATTTTAAAATGTAAATTTAAAAAATGTGTTATTAATCAAAAGCAAGATGGAGAATAAAATAAAAATCCTCAGTGTAGAATTCTGGAGAGTAGGTCTTTTAGAAAGGGAGCGTGAGAAGGAAAGGTACAGCTGTGGTTTTGACTAAGTGAATCATGAGTCCAATTGTGTGACTACCTGCCAGTCCCCTCCCCTTTTTTGGATTCAGGTGTCTCACTCTGTCACCAAGGCTGGAGTGCAGTGGGACAATCACAACGATCACAGCGCACTGCAGCCTTGACCTCTTGGGCTCAGGCGATCCTTCTGCCTCAGCCTCCTGAGTAACTGGGACTTACAGGTACGCACCACCATGCTCAGCTAATTTTTGAATTTTTCATAGAGATGGGGTCTCTCTGTGTTGCCCAAGTCTCAAAGTCCTGAGCTCAAGCAATCCTTGCCTTGGCTTCCCAAGGTGCTGGGATCCATGCCTGGCTTCAGTCTGCTTTTTTAGGGAGGACTATCCTTTCTGTTTATTCCTTGGTATTCTGATTCCAAGTTTATTAGTTTGCTATGCCCCCCATAACAGACACAGATTGCTTCGCTTAAACAACAGAAATTTATTTTCTCACAGTTCTGGAAACTAGAAGTCCAAGATCAAGGTGTTGGCAGGTTTGGCCTCTTCTGATGCCTCTCTCCTAAGGAAAACAGCCTTCCTGTTTTCTGTTCACATAACTGTTTCTCTGTGAACGTGTCTGGTGTCTCTATCTATGTCCTAATCTCTTCTTATAAGGACACCGGTCATACTGGTTTAGGACCCACCTGTATGACTTTTTTTTTAACCTTAATTACCTCTTTAAAGGCCCTGTCTCCAAATACAGTCACATTCTGACTGTTTGTTAAGGCCTTAACATGTAAATTTTGTGGGAGACAAAATTTAGCCCACAGTACTAGGGAATGCCAAGTTTCCTTCCCTGGAAGTTGAAGCATGTAAGGTGAACTTAGGGAAGGAGCAAAATCTGTGGTTCTTAATATTGTTTCTGCCTCTATAGATACTGGGCCAACCTAAAGCTGTGGTTCAAGCAGAAGATCAGCAAAGAAGAATTTGATCTTGAAGCTCATAGGCTTCTCACGCAGGATAATGGTAAAATAGTTATCTGGGGAATTATTTTACTATTTCAAAATTTTGCAACAAATTATGGTCTTTTCACTTAAAAATTTTTTGGTTTTGGTGGTGTATAAGGTCATTTTAGTAATGTGAATATTTAAAATTAGTATAAAAAAATGGCAGAGTAGGAGACATTAAAAATCCTTACAAGTTAAAGTAGTGGTTTCCTGATGTTGAAAATATTTTGTGTTTGACTTGTGACAATCTTCCCTTTTCCAGTCCATTCTCACAACGATTTCCTTCTGGCTATTCTCACGCGCTGTCAGATTTTGGTGTCTACACCAGGTAAGGGAGTGAAAATACTTCCAGTGTGTGTCAGTCATCGAAGCCATGGAGCCCCAGGCTTTAGCTCCCTCTAGCTGACACATCTGGTGTTTGTAATGAAATGTTCTTTGGACGGCTCAGAAGAAAAATTTTGTGATGCAAACTCCTTTACAGTACCTTTTTAAAGCAGGTGATTTCCCTGTGCTCATGTTGACTTTTGGTATTTACTACATACCGAGTTACATTTTTCACTTAAGTAAATGACAAGTGAGGAAGAGACCAGGAGGTCAGGAGGAAGAAGGTGAGGGCAGTGAAGAAACATTTGGTGTTAGGAGAAGGTGTTGGTAGATCCAGGGGTTACATATGTCAGAAACCTGGACCTTCACTTGCATTCTTAAGTGAGATATCAGCACCTGAAGGTTAGCGCTTTAGCTTGTGTGTTTGGCAAGTTATTGGTGGAGAACAGTAGGTAGGGGACAGTAGCATGCTAGGGACAAAGGTGGAGATGAAACCTGTCACTTCAACCTAAAGAGATTTGGATAGAAACACTTACTCCCTTACCCCTCATTTTTGGTGTTAAGTGCCATCTTATTTTAATCAGTCAAAAGCAAATAATTGGACAGGTACAGTGGCTCACACCTATTATCCCAGCACTTTAGGAGTCCAAGGCGGATGATCGCTTTAGGACAGGAGTTCAAGACCATCCCGGACAACATATTGACACCTCGTCTCTAAACATAATAAAAAATTAGCCTGTTGTGGTGGAGCATGCCTTTAGTCCCAGCTCCTGGTTATGCTGAGGTGGGAGGATTGCATAAACACAGTTTATAAGTTTGAGTTTGCAGTGAATTATGATGTCACTGGACTGTACTCCAGCCTAGGAGACAGAGCAAGACCTTGTCTCAAAAAAAAGAAAGAAAATTAAATACATTGGAAACTTCCTTCCTGGTAGAAGTTGCTCTGGACTTTGTTAAAACTTAGATTCATAGTCACTTCCTGCTGTAGGTTCAGTTGAATTTTTTTCCTAAGGGCCTAAGGTAATTCTAATGATCATCTATCAAAAACCCACATTTTATCTAGAAATGGCTGGTGTTTTGTATTCTCCCTCTTGCTAACCTCTGTTGTATGATAAAGAGTTCACATAAGATCTCCTAACACCTAATTCCTCCATTCTCAGAAACTGTTACTGTGATGTGTAATCAACAGTGAGCACTTGTTTGTGGGGCATGGGGTTAGAGATGGTAGCTGCCTCCCCACCCCTCACCACACCCGTCACCGTACTCTTTCACACCCTGTCAGATTTTTGATGTTCTACTTAAGTAAAAGTGAACTTTAGCCATACTTCTTTTATGTCCAAAGTTAGATCATAAATCATCACTTTATTGTATTTAACATAATTTGATTAGAAAAGCCAACATTGTAAGGATTAGACCTTACTTTTTTTTTTTTTTTTTGAGTTGGAGTCTCAC